CTTCAATGCAAATCTTCTCCTTGTTTATGTCTTTGACTTCTTCAACTACCAACTCTTATAGAACTCCCAAATAGAATTTCAAATAAAATTTTCAAATAGAATTCGAATCACAATCGAATTCTAACAAAATGATAAGTTGAAAAGTATATGAGGGTATAATGTCCACTAAAAATATTCATATCATATTTTTCCTTATGTAATTTGAGCTCTCCATAAACATATTTCAACAAACGACATAATTCAAAAAGACAATTGTCACCACTCAATTGAAATTCGATTTTGCTACATGTACATTATCACTTACAGATTGATGTACACACATGATATGGTGAAATATGATTGAGTTAAAATTTCTCTAAAAAAGGGGGAAAAGCCTTCTTCGCTCTCTTCTTGACACATCATCTATTTATAAAACTTTCTATAACGTCTTATGTACAAGTAGTATTACTAATTGAAATTAAATAAGTAATTGTAATCTTTTTCTTCGCTCAAGTTTTGTTTAATTGATTTTTCTTGATAAAATTTTAACGAGACAATATTTATTACTCTAAATTATTTGTACCCTTTTTTCCTTTATTTGTTATTTTTATCCTTTCAAGTCTTTGCTAAACAAGATTTTTAATGAGGAAGTTATTATGTAAATAATCATTCAAGGGAGAATGTTGTAGATTATATATTAATTAGTAAATGATCATTTTATCCCGTTGCCCTTGTTATTATGATTATTTTATCTCTTGTGATCCTAATCTTACCCTATAAAAATAAAGTTTTGATTCTTAATAAAATACATACAAATATTTTTCTATTTTCTTCACTTTTCTCCCTAATTTATAATAATTGTATAATAATATCACAATCATATATAAAAATAATAATCTCAAACAATAAGCCCCCAGGGCACATCTCCAAGAGGTAAAAGGGGAGGGTGGAGAAATCCAACTTTGCTTAAAGTTGTTGCATCAAGGGTTCCAATCCTAAAATATAGATTTGGCTCTTGAGTAAGTATAAGTGTACAAGCAGCCTTCCACCCTGTATCCTTGGAGGCATAACTTGCGATTTATCTTCCTCACGATACTTCAAGACAGGAGCGGTGAAGGACCCTTAAGGTTGAGGTTAAACCTTTAATAATGTCAAACAATTAGCGAAAAAAATATCAAAGGGAATAATATCATTATATTATTACAATTATTACATATTGAACCGAGTTCACGATTAGAATAACGGGTTTTAAACACGTGTTCCAGAACAAAAGTGTAATCCTACGGCTACGGTGAACCTAAACCCAAAAAAATGCTTCTATTTTATTGCGTAATTTGTCACTTTCCAAATACAAGGCTGGCTTTGTTTGCCATTTGATACTTATAATTTGATTCTCTCAATCAAAAAGCAAAAGATAAAAAGTTGTTTTCTCATCCACCACAAACGAATCCACGTTCCAAAAATCTATGTTCGAAGGCAACTGAATTTGATGGCCATAAACAATGTGCACCCCATCACCACCATCTAACACCTCATAGACCATGTTTGCTTAGCCTAAAAAGTAAAATTCCTTTCAAGTAAAAAATTAATTTTACATTTTTAGCCCCTGTTTGGCCCCCATTACGGGGAAAATTTAATGTATAGAATAGTTTTTTTTGAAAAATGAGTGGCTGAAAAAGAAAGAAAATTTTCGATTTACGTGTAATATTATTTTATGGAAGATTGTGTGGTTGAAAATAGGAGAGAGAAAAATAGAATGTAATGTAATGTAATGTAATGAAAATCAAACAGGGGCTTAATATGTTCGAATAAATTGTTCTTACGATCAAATTTATGTTTGACGAAAAAATTGCTTTTAGGTGTGGATGAAGCTACAGTGCCAGGGACATAACCCCCACAGGCTTCTCACTAGCATAGGGGTGGGCGTTTTTGGGATATTTGTTTAGGTGTGAGAGGCCTTGTAAAATGGGACTTATACACCCAGCTTTATACATAATTGGTAAATGACCAAAAAGTCGATTTATTATTGTGTTTGTTTTGTAAAGATTTTGATAATTGATTTTTTGATCGTTAGAGATAAAGCGGGTCCTACCTATGAGAGAAGAATTCAAAAATAACAACTATAATAGTGAAATAATGGTCAAAAAATTGATTTTAATTAACTTTTTAGCTGTACAAAACTAGCTCATTATTTTGACATGTTATTTTAAAATTGAGAGGATAAGGGGGTTAAATATTCTCAGTTGCCACAGAATTTTATAAATGTTCCCGATTGCTCTTAAATATTAAAATATCCTCGAGTTGGCATTGAACTTTAAAAAAAAAAAAAAAAAAATTTAATTGATTTTTCTTGATAAAATTTTAACGAGACAATATTTATTACTCTAAATTATTTGTACCCTTTTTTCCTTTATTTGTTATTTTTATCTTTTCAAGTCTTTGCTAAACAAGATTTTTAATGAGGAAGTTATTATGTAAATAATCATTCAAGGGAGAATGTTGTAGATTATATATTAATTAGTAAATGATCATTTTATCCCGTTGCCCTTGTTATTATGATTATTTTATCTCTTGTGATCCTAATCTTACCCTATAAAAATAAAGTTTTGATTCTTAATAAAATACATACAAATATTTTTCTATTTTCTTCACTTTTCTCCCTAATTTATAATAATTGTATAATAATATCACAATCATATATAAAAATAATAATCTCAAACAATAAGCCCCCAGGGCACATCTCCAAGAGGTAAAAGGGGAGGGTGGAGAAATCCAACTTTGCTTAAGGTTGTTGCATCAAGGGTTCCAATCCTAAAATATAGATTTGGCTCTTGGGTAAGTGTAAGTGTACAAGCAGCCTTCCACCTTGTATCCTTGGAGGCATAACTTGCGATTTATCTTCCTCACGATACTTCAAGACAGGAGCGGTGAAGGACCCTTAAGGTTGAGGTTAAACCTTTAATAATGTCAAACAATTAGCGAAAAAAATATCAAAGGGAATAATATCATTATATTATTACAATTATTACATATTGAACCGAGTTCACGATTAGAATAACGGGTTTTAAACACGTGTTCCAGAACAAAAGTATAATCCTACGGCTACGGTGAACCTAAACCCCAAAAAATGCTTCTATTTTATTGCGTAATTTGTCACTTTCCAAATACAAGGCTGGCTTTGTTTGCCATTTGATACTTATAATTTGATTCTCTCAATCAAAAAGCAAAAGATAAAAAGTTGTTTTCTCATCCACCGCAAACGAATCCACGTTCCAAAATTCTATGTTCGAAGGCAACTGAATTTGATGGCCATAAACAATGTGCACCCCATCACCACCATCTAACACCTCATAGACCATGTTTGCTTAGCCTAAAAAGTAAAATTCCTTTCAAGTAAAAAATTAATTTTACATTTTTAATATGTTCGAATAAATTGTTCTTACGATCAAATTTATGTTTGACGAAAAAATTGCCTTTAGGTGTGGATGAAGCTACAGTGCCAGGGACATAACCCCCACAGGCTTCTCACTAGCATAGGGGTGGGCGTTTTTGAGATATTTGTTTAGGTGTGAGAGGCCTTGTAAAATGGGACTTATACACCCAGCTTTATACATAATTGGTAAATGACCAAAAAGTCGATTTATTATTGTGTTTGTTTTGTAAAGATTTTGATAATTGATTTTTTGACCGTTAGAGATAAAGCGGGTCCTACCTATGAGAGAAGAATTCAAAAATAACAATTATAATAGTGAAATAATGGTCAAAAAATTGATTTTAATTAACTTTTTAGCTGTACAAAACTAGCTCATTATTTTGACATGTTATTTTAAAATTGAGAGGATAAGGGGGTTAAATATTCTCAGTTGCCACAGAATTTTATAAATGTTCCCGATTGCTCTTAAATATTAAAATATCCTCGAGTTGGCATTGAACTTTAAAAAAAAAAAAAAAAAAAATCCCCTCCGCCACTCGCTATTTTCAAAAAGTTAGCCGACTTAACCCCTATTTGACAATTATTATTTCAAATTTTTTTATTCTACATACTCATTTTCAATCACATATTTTCACAATAAAATATTCTGTACATATATTCAAAAAATTTTCTTATTTTTTAACTACACATTTTCCAAAAATTCACTACTCAAAATTTTATTTTTGGCAAATAGTAAACAAAGATTGAGAAACATATAAGAACAATTGTTTTGTGAACCCCCTGTGAGAGTGGTTCTGTATGTGTAGCGCCACTGTTTTATTAAACAAACATATAATAATATATATATGTATGCCATGTCATGTCATATCCTAAAAATGTTACAATAAAATCTCATATCTAATTTAAAAATTTTGTCTCGTAGCTTACAATTTTTTATTTTAGGGGGTCATGTAACAATTACGTGAAAGTCAGGTACATCATAAATGTCAACTAAAAATTTCAATTAGTTTGAAGATGGAAGGTGATGATATGTGACTTGAAGATGTTTGAAAAACAAAATTAAGGGTGAGTTTGAACCACATTCTTTCTAAAAAAATGTATTTTGAAATAGTAAATTTATTGAAAATGCGTGGTTAAAAAAGAAGGAAATTTTTTGAATTACATGTAATATTATTTTAATAAAAAATTATGTAGTTAAAAAAAGAGAGAATAATATATTTTAGGAAAACTCAGTATCAAACACTACCTAAAGTTGAATGACTCAGAAATCAAATTAAAATTCCCAACTAGGAAAAAAAAACTTCCTTTTTAACAAAACATGTAGAGCTTATGTCATGCTACATTTCCATGAGGGTCACATGAGATTGTTCATCCCAGTCTACACCCCTAACATGAAGGAAAACTTACTACAAATAAAATATAATTTATTCGAAATGAATTCTCCTCCTCGATAATGGATATCTGGATGGACACCGCATTATCGCATTATGTACAACTAACATATTCCGTTCGGTAATTATGAATTATTTAAAAGTAACATTGACCACTTTTAAGCTTAGCCAAACGTGCTTATAACACTTCCAAGGATAAATACCAGACCACCACCACTACCTCTTCTCCAATTCTCGCTAACAACCACTTTTCTACCCAAAACACACGCAGAGTACAGAGAGCAAATTGAAATGGGAGTTGTAATCATCGACGGTTCAACAGTCCGTTCGTTCGTAGAAGACGAGGCCCGGTTCAAAAAAAGCGTAGACGAAGCCTTTGCCTCCCTTGACCTCAACAACGACGGCGTTTTATCAAGATCAGAGCTCCGCCGCGCCTTCGAGTCGCTCCGCCTCATCGAGACCCACTTCGGGGTGGACGTGGCCACGCCGCCGGAGGAACTGACGAAGCTCTACGACTCGATTTTTGACAAATTCGATTGCGACCGAAGCGGGACGGTGGATAAGGAGGAGTTTAGGACCGAGATGAAGATGATTATGCTGGCTATTGCTGATGGACTCGGGTCTAATCCAATTCAGATGGCTCTTGAAGATGATGATAAGAGTTTCCTCAAGCAGGCTGCTGATCTTGAGGCTTCTAAGCTTTCTGGGTGATTCTCAACCGTCTAGATTTTATATTTTTAGATTAATTTCAGTTTGGGTTTTTACCCTATCTCGTGTTCTTGTAAGAGTTTTGTCTTCAGACAAAAGTTGCAATAATACCTTCTTTAATAAAATAAAAAATTAGACTTAGGTTTCACCTCCTTTGCAGCCATCACTGGACATGGGAACTAGCCCAAGTGGTCCCCAAGGTTTAAATTTTTGGCATGAACATCCTTAATCTTTCAATTAATTGATGGAATTAGTCCTTTTGGATGTTTCCAATCAATTGACCATTAAAATTGTCAATTTTTGGATAAATAGACTAAATGCAACCCTTTTAGTTAAATAATATAAAAGAAAAATTAAAATTAAATAATATACGATAAAAAGAAAAGAGAACACAATCAATCTCTCGTAAGAGCATCTTTAATGTAATCATAAATTATTTTAAAAATTGTCATAAAAACAAAGTGAAAGATATTATAAGAAGTATCTCTAATGCAAGTTAATAGGGAATCTATCCACGTGATGTGGGATACAAAAAATAGGTATTGAAAAATTTTCAATCTATATGACATTAATTGCGATTTAAAAACTCAAGTTCAATTTTGATTTTCAATGCTTCTATATATAAATTTTGCTGAGTTTGGTATGTTTAACGGAGATCTAAAATTATCTATTTTATTTATCGCATCATCTTGATGGAGTTCCTATCAACTTGCATTGGAGAAGGTTTTTTTTATTTTTTATTTTATTATTATTTTAACTCATTCAGTGCATTGAGTTGAGTGGAGTTTTTGTTTGATTTGCGAGTTGCTCATAACTGGTTAATCCATGTTTTATGAATAAGCTTAATCAACTCAGAATGAGAAATTTGTCCTGGAAAATATGTACAAGGATAAATATATATGGACAAGGCCAAATAGGGCGCCAAGGGGCGTCGACAATGTCCGTCCAGCATCTCCCTATGTACAGAGGGATATGCTTACTACCTACTTTAATGAGTAAAGTATCTTCAATTCCTTGAGATGGTCAAGGGAGTGATGTTGAATTTTGTAGACAATTTTTTAGTGGGGAATAGCTCTATAGGTAATTGAAGAAGGGACAACCCCCACAATTTGAATTTGAACCTTCAAAGTAGAAAGATGTTGTAGATTTGAAATGGGCATATTAAAATTTGAGAACATCGTTGACCGTTAATAAGCGCCTAGGCACGGTTACGCGTATCTAGGCGAGCATAATTATCATTTTTTTTTGTTATTTACAATTTCTCTAAGTTAGAAATCAAATGTTGATTTCTTCACTTTGTCAGTTTTAAATTCAAAATAACTGCTTGAAACCTTGAACAAAGAAGATCTCCCAAGATTCCTATTTATTTACTACTTAATATTACATTTGGAACTTATCTTTTTATTGAAAACTCTGGAAAAATGTCTAAATTTCTTATAAATTTGTTTTAGATATCTGGTAGATATTATTTTTAATTATTAAATGATTTTTTGATTGATTAAAAATTTAATAAAATATGTTAAAATAAGAAAACACATTTTTATGTTTTTTTAGGCCTATGTCTTGCCCAAGCTCGCTCAGCCCCTAGCTTGGCATACACGTATTGCCACGCCTTACGCCTTTCAAAACACTGCGATAAATCTAAAAACGTTCCTATTTTTTTATCACACATTTTTCATCAATCTACTATTCTAAAATACATTTTTAACCAAAAATAAAGTTCAAACAGGCGCTTAACGTTGTCTCAACTGTTCCTATACAAGCATATTGATACTTAGAGAAACAAGTATCAAATAAGGCAATTTTAGAAACTGCAAAGAAGACATTTTCTTCCATGGAGAGTAGGAGAAAATCTCACAACTCTGAAATGCAGGTGGGTATATCCTTTAGATGGCCATACTTTAGGATATTGAGAAGGAATTTCAAGCAGGGATGGAGCCAAAAGTTCGATATTGAAGTGTCAAAAAGTGAAATACAAAATTTTCAAACCAACACGACATTAATGAAAATAAGTCAGTTGACCACTACATTTGTAGGCTACGCGTTTTCATACTCTAAACATCTTCGTTTAATTACATCATTATTAATATTGATGAATACATTGTTTTCGATATATGCAATCAAATTATCACTTAACAATTGATCTACTATCTGATTACACAGTCAATTTTTGACAATAATCATTACAGAAAATACCCTCTCTACCATAGCGGTAACAATTGGAATAATTAATGTCAATGTTACAAGTTTGCAGACTAATGGCTACACCTCAATTTTTTAGAATAAAAACATGCAAAATCAAACAAATAGGTTGTCGATTTGTTATCTAGACGGAAGTAAAATCACAAAATTAGCGCAAGAAGAGAAAATCTGAAAATATGAATGGCTGTCCCGAATTCTTCTCTCTGTGAGGTTTAGGTCAAAGTCACAATGTACATAAAAACCCACGTGAAGTGAAGGAGTGGAGAGAAAATGAACTTGATCACTTAGAGTTGGACAAGTGAAAAAGCAATAAATGGATTTGTGCAATTGGGCTTGGTAAACTAGCAATGAACAAGGTTTTAGTCAATTTACAGATTAGAAAAAGGGGGGCTTGGCAATGTACATATTTTGGATAATTTAAAAATTAAAAAAATAAATAAATTGTGGGGGTTAATTGACCCCATGTGGGTCTGTCCATGATTTCAAGAGTGACGAATTGCTCCTTCTTCGTAGCCGGAGAAGATGTTGATCAAACTTTGCGACTTGGACAGATTCTTTAACTTGGGATTTTTGTGGTGATATGAGGATTTGATAATAGGCTGACGGGATTTAGCATAAGGGATGTATGAATTTACAAGTGGTATATCTGTCAGAGGGACTTTATGAGGTTCAAAAATAAGAGATCTCGTGGAGATATTCCATCTTAGAAGCATTAGATTTTCTAAGAGAAGAGGGTGATGACAAAGGAGAATGAAGCATTGAAAAGCTATTTAGATTATTAGAGGATACAGTTAATGAGAATGTTCTTCCTTAGTAACCTTCAACCTAAATGACATAAATATGAATGGGATGAATAAGGTAAATAAGATAATACCAAATGTACGATATCGTAGTTCACGATATTGTAGTCCAAAAAAGCCTCAAACCAAAGGCAACAAACGGGCCTAACTTTTAAAACCTACTATACGTTTTACGGATCGTTTAGTTAGTGGAACACTTTCTAATGCAAAGGAGATACTTTATAGAGAATTGGTTGGTAAAATTAGTTGACTTATTATTTTTATCTTATATTTTTAAATTTTCCTTTTACTTATTCATTTTATTTAATTAACAAAAGTAATGGCACTTGACATTTAGTCTTAATATAAAAAATTTGACCTTTTTAACGATTAATTTGGATGGAAACCATACAAAAAAATCGCTACACCCATTAAGGAAAATGTAAGGGCTATTTCTTGATCAACTAACGGACATAAGGATGGAATATGTCCTTCGGCTGCACACAAGTAAAATGTTTGGTATCGTAGGTGCAAGAAATAAAATGTTGGGATAAAAGTTGCTACAAAGTGAAAAGTTTGAAACCACAATTGCTATTATCTGTAAATTTTATATGCTTTCATTGAACTTTTAACGAAAATCTCAACTAGAACACTAGATTTTAGCTCGTAACTTGAGCTCGATTTTTTAAAATTTATTTTTCTCTGGCTCATTTTTAACTACGCATTTTTCTAATAAAATAATTATACACTTAAACCTGTACCTTTTCTTTACATTTACCCTACATTCTCTAAAAAATCACTATTATAAAATCTATTATCCTAAAAATGATTCTCAAATTTAGGTCCTATTTGATTCTCATTTTTTCAAAAATGAGAAGAAAAAATATAGTCGTTACGGGACCTTCACAAGAGATAAAAAGTTAAATATGATGGCTTGATATGATGGATAACGGTCATATGACTCATATTTTTCATTTTTGTGGCTAGGGAATGGGAATCAAACGAGGGTTTAATTAGTCTTTTTGAGTAATTGAATTTTAATTTAGATTCAATTGGAACATCTCCAATTTAAATAGCTTGAATCGTAAACTTAAGGCCCTATTTGGTAACAACTAAAATTCAGATTTTAATTTAAATCAAAGTCAAAAATTAATTTTAACCATATATTTAATGATTCTCACAACTTTTTAATCACATATTTCATCAACTTTTATCAAAATCAACTAAAAATCAGATTTTAATTCACACCAAACAAGGACTAAATTTAGTTCCTAATTTTTCCACTTCCCACATGCATCTTTTCAAATTGATGAGAATGCCTTAATCGATAACCATGTCACAATATATATATATATATGTCATAACTCTTATTCTATCATTTTCGTTTATAAAGTATAACACAACGATCACATAGAATATTACTTTTGGTGTGTCTATCAACTAATTAATATTTGTCAATTCAAGAGACGATAAGCTACAAATTATATAAAATCGTAAAACTTTAAAGTTAAAATTAATTGAATATGAAATTTAATTAATTACACAACAAGTAGCATGATTGTAATTTAGGTCCCGTTTGATTTTCATTTTTCAAAAAATACGAATGAAAAATACAGTCGTTACGAGATTTACACAAAAGATAAAAAGTCAAATATGATGACTTAATGTGATGAATAACGATGATATTTTTTATTTGTATGGCGGAATTTAACGGGGCTAATTACACAATCGACATGAAATTTACCCTGCCAAACACGTTGAATATGGCCGGGATATGATGTCAATGTCAATGTCCGCCCTAACAAACGCTGGGCCCCATTGTCCCTCTAGTCCATGTCCTTTACTGGTACAGCACATCTGACCCTCCAAAAAGCTACAAGCAGCACCAACTAATCAATCCTCCCACCACAACCATCGAAACAGGAACAACCGACGCCACCGCCGCCGCCATGTCCTCCGCCTCCCCCTCCACAGCTATGCCCCGCCTCTTCAACCACCACGCCTACTGGTGTCACGAATGTGATATGAGCATCGGCCTCCCTCCTTCCCCAACCCCAAATGCCCTCCTCTGCCCTCACTGCCATCACGATTCCCTTGAACATATGGACGATTCCCTTGAACAGATGGACTATTTTGCCCCTTCCCCCACCATTGACACCCCGACCCACCCCTCCTTAACAGCCCCAGATGATAACTTCCTCCTCACAAGCCCCTACCTACACCGCCTCATCCACCTAACAGCCCCAACCGCCCCCACCACCAATTCTCACTCAAACCCTGCCCCTAAATATGCCATAGATTCCCTTCAAGAAATTACCATCACCCAAGAAATGCTCGATGATGACCCCAATATGTTGTGTCCGATTTGTAAGGACCCGTTTCGCTTAGATGCCTCCATGAAATTGATGCCGTGCAAGCACACCTATCACGCGGATTGTATTGTTCCGTGGCTCGAGATTAATAATTCTTGCCCGGTTTGTCGGTTTAGGTTGCCAACAAATGAGGAGAAGTGCAGGGAGGGGTTGAATGGTGGGGGGACGTATGTGGGGTTTGTGAGACTTGAGGAATTGGTGGAGGATGAGGTTGATTTGTTCGGTTTTAGGAATACTCTTAGACACATTGCAAGGAGGCGTCGAAGGGATGAAGTGGGGATAATGGAAGAAAATGTTGCGAGTGGGAGCATGGAGAATTTGTTCTCCCCAACACAAATTGGGGAAGTGGAGAGAGGGGAGGGAGTTTTGGGGAGGCAGAATAGTGTGGAGACTGTGTCGAGTTGGCCGAGGGGGCCGGTGGAGGAAAGTAGTGGTGGTGGAGGAAGGAGTGATAATGTGCTGCTGTGATTCGGGTTTTGTTCCGTTTCAGCAAAGTTAGAGGTATAATTCTCATAATTTTCAAATTTCCATTGCTTTATATTGGAGGTGATTGGTTTATCATTACATGCTTTATTTCTTTGGGAAGCCATGTAATGCTGGAAGTGCTATGCTTGCAGATTTTTTTACTCCTTCCAGATAATAATATAAAATGTTGCATAAGAACAATGATTATTTAGCATCGCAAAATTTAGTTATTTGTTGTTTTAGTTTCAGGGAGTCATGCAATATTAGTAGCGTCATGCATATTGAGACTGCCAACAATGTCTTGATTTTAATGGACAACTCACAATGTCTTATACAAATTTCGGCTAAAAAAAAGAACCTAATATCCTTGAACTTTTTTTTGGAAATTATCAAATTAATTTGGTTCTTGTGAAGTCTTGTTCACCTTAAAACCGTCAAAGAGCATGATCAAGAAGTGAAAGAACTTGATTTTTTGAGCTTTAATTTGGATATTATTTTCTCTGTCATATTTATGTTTTAGAGGCCTAGGTTATGGCCTGATAAGGATATCTACTTGAAGTTGGCTTAATATATATCTATCTCATCTTTGGCAAAGCATTTTGTTGTCCATAAGTTATTTTGGGAAAACCATAGTTATTTCTTTTGGTATGTGCACTAGTTACTAATTACCTTGGCTGCATTTGAGTTGTTGAGCAGATGGACAAAATGTAGAAAATCTAAAGATCATAAGACTCTTAGAAAATCTTGGCGATCCCCATTTTGACCAACAGTTGGCCCGCCTATTCGAACTGCCCTCCATCTTTAGATCACATTTTACTCACATTATCAACCTCAGTCAGAAATAATTTCATTCCTTTTCTACAATTTTGCGAAGAAAAGCATGAAAGGCACAAATATCAGGCACCTAAAGAATTAAAAAGAAAACGCGGGTGTCTAATTAAACTTTCAAATTCCCAGGATCATGATCAATTCTTCGGAAAATAATATTCAACGGAGGCTGATGACATATTACATTTTCCAATAAGAAAATGAAAGCTAAATCGAACAGCAGATACCTGAATAAGATTAGTGGTAGGATTACGGTGAGCTGATAATCTAGCAATGCACTGATTAATATCTGCACCTGGCTGCATTTTTTCGCTTGAATGAATTATTGTTGAAAGGTTGAAAGAAGTAAACTTTGGTTATCAAACGCAAACAAGAAAGCTAGATATGAGAAGGGAAACCCTACATAACGTGTATATAATAATAGGGTGTTTATACTGACCCCATAATTTTAGTTTTAGTTGCTTTTGCATGGAAGGTGTCAAAGTTGGAATATAGGTTGCGACGTTTATCACCTATTGAAGCCAATTGGGATTTCACATTATTATTTTTTAAGTCATACGGGTAAACTATAAAGCTTCTGTCATGAACATTACAATCTTGTGAAGGTCTTTTTTATGGAAAAGATTTTCTGTGAAGATTGAAAGTTTTCACTTTTCTTTCTGTAGAAAGATTTTGTGCACAGTTAATACTGCAACTGATAATCTGGGAGTGGAAGTAATGCTGAAGTAGAACTCTAAGAAATCTCATGCGCCACTAAGACCTTATGTAGTTATGAATTAAATGTGGACCTCTTGCCTTTATGTGTAGCCTGAGTGGGCATAGTCTGAAATTTTCTCTGATTTCAATAGTAAAGTGTGACGAGCAAGATGGCAGAGAAATCTTGATGCTTTTAGTTCATTATCACATATTTATATGTTCTTTTTCAATAGGTCAGAGTAGATTTCTAAGAAATTTTTTTGATCCCTCACTGAAATACGCTTTTTTGTTGTGCTTTATGTTTACACTCTTGATTTAAATAGAGCATTTTACAAGGAATGAAGAAATCTAGTGCTTACATTTTTATTACAATATGTTTTATCTTCTCAGCCATCTAATCATATATTGGCACTATCATTTTTTTTTTGGTCGTGGCTCTGGAATTTTTATTGACTATTGACTAGCATGAAACATCAAAACACACGCTGGCAGATGAGTGTGGTAAATAAATGTATATGGAGATAGTGCGGCTAATGAAGTTTCAGGCATCTATATTTTGCCTGAATGGGTTGGTAGGGGCCTGTGTTTTGTCAGAATGGTGGTAATTGTTTCTATCTAGCACAGTATATCTAGTTATTACCAATCACTTTTCTTGTTTCTTGAGATGCTTGATTGTTTCAGATTGAACCGAATATATTGTATCGGGTTTTGGTCTTACTATCTTTGGAATTCCTCTTCATTTTATGTTTGTAAGATTACGTTAGGTATCTTTCAGTTAATATTTCATATACATGTTATCATTTATATGTGCGTTCTTTTTAATGTTATAGTGTATCAAGTTTTGATTTATCTTTTCTTAAACTGATTTGTTCTCTTTGTAACTGCATCTTATTCTATCCTCCTTGGCTTCTGACTTTTACTGCTTTGGCTGCATTAGATTACATTGAAACCGATTTTTATTTATCTGGTGAAATACTTTTATAGAAATTTAGAATTTGTTCGGAGTCCATGATTACGGAAAGCAGCTATGTTCTGGTAATGTCACTTGGTCCTGCTGAATCTTGTAACTCCGATTTTGAATTTAGCCGATTCCTTTGTGTTTGCAGGTGATGTATAGTCGTCATGGTCATGCAAGGGTATCGTATCGCCAATAATGGTTCTGGCAAGTGTAATTTTTGCCATGGATGACCATGCTTCTGTTTGATAACATATAAGCGCCATTCTTGGTCATAAAAGTGCAATTCTTGTCCTTTTATTGCCCCTTGTACCATCCCTGTTCTTCATTGGCGTAAGCAAAATCAATGCTTGTAATAGAACTTGTGAATTCTATGCAATAAATTTTGTTAAGCAATGACCAAATAATGTTGTGTGCTTATTCAGTTGTGGTTTCAATGCTTTAACGATGTCTCTTATTCATCCGTTAGTGTATTAGACTTGAATAGGTTGCATGGAACAATTTGATTCTTAGGGCCTGCTTGGTAGGTATTTTTTCATCGGGTTTGATTGTTTGTGGGTTGTACCGTTTATGTGAGGTTATATTAAAAAAATAAATAATAATAATAATAATAATAATAATAATAATAATAATTGTTCGTTTTTTGGGCCTTGACGTCTTTCTCAATCCACTAAATCAGTGTATTTTGATTATTTCTCAAATTCTCTTTCAGTGTGATCATTTGAAAAATGATTATTTTCAATTCACATATTTTTGTTCAAAATTAACCTGTAAATAAAAATATGTTAATTAAAAAATTTATTTAAAAGCAAAACAATTACTTTATAACTAAAAATTTTACTTATAACATAAAAATACACTTTTATGTTTAAAATTGCTTGTAAAGTAAAAATACTACTACTACTAAGACAAAAATCACTTATAAATTATAAGTTATTTATAAGAACAAAAAACAATTATGTGCAAAAAATAATTTAAAAGTACAAATTTTTTCACCTTTTAAGTTAAAAATTACTTATATGTTTATAAGAAATTATAAAATTGAAAATTTTATTAGGGGATGCATGTAATTTTATTCTTTCAAGGAACTTTTAGAACTGATAATAAATTCACAGTATGGATTAGATTGTTTTAAAAATCACTATTCAAAATCATCCAAAATCGAACCCCTCATAAATGTCTAAAATTATTACATTAAAAAAGTTAACAAGCGGTACTCCAAAACTCTCAAACAGGCTCTTAGATTCCGTTTGGTACATCTATTGTAAGTGAAGCATTTAAAACTAGAGATTTTTCAAAAAGAGTCGTGGTTAAGAAAACGTTGATTGTTTTTGGATGTCAATTCAAAGTATGTAACAATATTACATAATTAATTAACTAAGCATTATTTATGTATTATATAGTTTTATGATTATTTTGTGTAATATTATTTTTTCAGTATTATATAAAATTTATAAAAAATTAATATATTAATTAAAATATTAACACAATTATTTTAGTATAAATTATATACACATTTGCATATAATTCCATGGACCAGATAAATATGACTTGTAAGCAAAAAAAGAGAGAAATAAAAAAGATAATGGTCGGAGAGGCTACGGTTTTATTTGTTGGGGTTGAGAGTTATAAAAAAATTTCTGTTTTACTTTACTTTAAATTTTTTTTTAATAATTTGGACATATTTAAAAATTTAAAAGTTCCATTATATATAATTTGACTCCCTATAAAAGTTGAATGTAGAGCTTTCAAATCAAAATTTCAGCTTCTCCAATGTAATTTTAAAAAACTATTTTTAGTCAAGAAGTACTTTATCCTGCAGTATTCAGTTGAAAATGCATTTTTTCTTTCAAAGTAGAGAACTTTTAGGTATCGTCTAAGAAGTGTTCGTAAGTCGTTTAAATTATAAATAGATAACAATAAGTCGTAAATAAGTATACAGTATTTATGAATCTCATGAAATATGGATAAAAAATTTATGTATTTATAAACATTAGCCAAATATAGTCAAGTAGGTGACAAGGTCGAGTGAGCTTGTTCGCCTGGGGTTCAAATTGAGCAAGGCAATATTATGAGGCCCATTGGTTGAGGCATATTAGTCCATGAGCCAGCCCGCAAAGGTTAGAGGCCGTGCTTTTATTGAGTCGACCCATCTCCTTTCAAACATCTAGTGCATGTTTGGTAGTAATTTTTCTCACCAAAAAATCAATTTGCTGAATGTTGTTTCACTATTTCAACCGTCATTTTTGAATTCTTCTCTCATAAATAGGACCCACTCTTCTTTCTAACGGTCAAAAAATCAGTTTTCAAAATTACTCCCGAACAAGTCCCTATTTCCCTTTCTTTCACCATAAGAAGCTGGACAGTTGAAAGTGGGTTATTCTGTCACTTAAATTCCTGAAAAAATGGGGGGAAAAAAAAGAAAAGAAAAAAAGAAGCTCATAAATTTTGTTCTTTTAAAACTGGCCGATTCCTCTCTATTTTACTGGTTTTTAAAATTTATTATGTTTGCCATATAGAAATACGGGTACTTAACCATTTTTTTTTTTTTTGGCATGTATATTCTTATTTTCTCATTATCATATCCACGATCACACATTATCCTTAACACTTTCGCTGCATTCATCTTATAAACATCGTGATATTTAACTACAGTCATAAAGTATATCTCATCTAATCAATCTTCCGAATAAATTAGTTTTCGCCCTTATCAAATCTCCCTATCACGTAAAATTTGTCAAATACTCGTACGTTTCATCCTTCTCGCTCTAATCTTGTTTGAGTTTTGGCAAGCACTTAACATGCAAAAGGTTTCATTGTTGGACATGCATGGAAGTGTTTGCATAATTATATCGAATAGGTGGCTCATTAGAAGTGCAATGCACTTCCAATTGTCTACAACAATCACAAACTCAGGCATAATGCAGCCATTTCCTATAATAGGAATATAATATGAACAATTAAGCAGATTCTTCGAGTTTTTGGTGCTCCACTTTGCATTACTTTATCGATTATTGGTATCTTATTTTGATCATAACAGAGAGAAAATCTCTCATTTGACTTCACGTTAATTCAAGAATACACACCATTTATGACATCGTTCCAACCTTCATTTCCAAAATTGTACCCAAAAAGGGATTACACTATCTTAAGATGGTTTAGGGTAAAAGTCACACCAATTAATCAACGTATAAAAGATTGAATTACTTCTCTTAACATAGTTGATTTTCTAAAATTGACTCATGTGTCTTCATATAGTATCAAATCTTATTAAGTTAATCGAGCAATTTGGTTTGTCTAAAAGCTCAAATAAGCATTCAAATTTTAAAATTGGTGCGCTCAAATGAGCCACTTTTTTGGTAGGACACATAATAAGGGTAAAAAATGAACATTATTTAAGTATAACGAGATGATTTTATTTATTATTTATTTATTTTTTGCCTTGAAAAGTCTTTCCACAAACTTTTTGGACAGAACAACCAATTTATAATTTTTATGATAAAAAAAGGTGTGTGTAATCCTGAGAAGGTAGCTAAGTGATCAGGCCTTAGGTTTGCTTCCTAATGATCACCAGTTCGAGTCCTTCAAGGTTATTGAGGTGAGTACCTGATTATAAATTTTACGGTCTCGTGAATTAGTCGAGGTGCACGTAAGTTGGCCCACATCCACAATCATTAAAAAAAAAAAAAAAAAGTGTGTGTGAGCTCATTTTTTTTAACCATTATAACCATTTTTACAAGCTGCCAAATTAAGGAATGATTGACTTTGTGAAAGGGATAAGGGGGTCACGAAGGAAGGTAGTGAAGTTTGCATACTCATCCATGAAATTAAAGTGGACTTTATAAATAATCTTTTAGATATAAAACAAAATGTGGTGGCGTAGTTCATTTAGGACTTGTTTGGTACAACTTCTACTTTTATTTTTATTTTTTATAGAAATGTTTTCTCTAAAAGTTATTCTGATAAGACAACATTTTTTAAAAATTGTCAAAACTGGTTCAAGATAATTTCTTAATCTTAAAATTAACTTTTGACGTTTTAAAAGACGTGCCAAACGTGTCCTTAGTACATAATATGATTCAAGAAAAGATTATGTTATAAATATATTGACTAATTAATTAATTAATCAAGGATTAATGTCATAATTGTTGCCCCAAGACAACTATTATTATACTTCCGCTCGTGCTTGACTTTGCAACACAAAAAAACAAATTTTCTTTTCTCAATCGTCCGTAATTTTTTTTTATATCTACTAGCAAGGGTTTCCATTTATAGTTTAATATATTTTTTCTGTTTTAATTTCAAGTTATACACTAAAATCCCAATCACTTTATTATTATTATTATTATTATTATTATTATTATTATTTTCTTCTCAACACCACTTCTATACACACTTCGAATATGTTTGATTGGCTTTATTTTTCATGAAAATGTCATTTTTATCCAACTTATCATTTTTGTGGTGTTTGATTGACAATTTTTTCATAAAAAATATTTTTTAACTTTTAGTCGTGTGATCATATTTTCCTTGAAAATAAGGAAAACATTTTCTTTAGGAGGATTGGTTTTTATTTTTCAAATAATTCATTCTCTCTCATCTATTCCTTCTCTTTCATCTACTTACCAATAAAAAATGGACAAATATAATATTTTTTTAGGTTGAAAACTAAATTAATCAATCATATTTAATTAATAATGTACATATAAATAGTTATAGACAATTGAATTGTCTAGAATTTATTTTTCTTTAATGCAAATTCTATGTTTGCAATCAAAACACCCTTAATTTAACACATAACGTATCACAAGTAGAATGGATATCTCAACTTAATTAAGTAGACTGTAAAAATGATGTAGAGCATGAAAGTTACAATAAAAAAATAAAAAAGAAAAGAAAAAAAGAGAGCATAATTAATGTAATCTCCAGAATCTTATCATATGAAAACTTGCCGTATGTTACGTATCAACTTACTATTGAGCTAAATGTTGGTTTATGGTGAAAATATATCCCATCATTATAGTTAGGGTGTATTTGATTGTAAACATGGAATTTGTATGGAAAGAAAATAAATTTTAGACAATTTAATTGCCTAAAATTTATTTGCATGAAAATTGTCAATTAAATGTATTTGATTGATTTAATTTTTAACCTAAAAAATAATATACTTGTCCATTTGAGAGAGAGAGTTGATAGATGAGAGAGAAACAGAGAAAGTGAATTCGTTGAAAAATAAAATTTTATTCCCCCTAAGAAAATATTTTTCTTAATTTTGAGAAAAAATATTATTACATGACCAAAAGTAAGATAATGTATTCCATAGAAAAAAAATGTCAATAAAACAGAACAAAGATAGGAATTTGGGTGAAAAACGCATTTTTCATGAAAAATATTGGCAATCAAACGTACCCTTATAAATTTCGA